TATCGTCCGCATAATCTAGGTCAACTAATCTTTCACCAGGCAGCACTTCAACGCCTACATCGTTAGATTCCGTCAGGGAACACTCCATGATAGAATCCACGACGAAATTGAATAAAAACGGGGAAATCGGAAAACCCTGACGAACGCCACTTGTGGTCGAAAAGCTATCCGATAGGACACCATAGACCCTGACGAAGGATGTTCACATATTTCGTGGGAACACCTTTTCGCGCAAGTAATTCGAACAGAATCGATCGATCGACTGAATCGAACGCACTCTTGAAATCGAGGAACACAGCTATTGTCGGTCTGCGGTATGCGTGGAGCTGCTCTAGCACCTGCCGCAAAGTAAATATATGGTCTATACAGCCACGTCCTGGGCGGAACCGGAGTTGCTCTTCCCTAATCCGAGATTCCCGTTCTGCAGTGAGGCGACGAATGATAATCGAGGCAAGTACCTTTGTCACAACTGGCGTTAGGCTAATACCCCTGTGGTTCGCACAGTCTGTGCGACTGCCCTTTTTGTATATTGCCACTATAATCGATTCGCTCCAATTAGCCGGGACACTCTCTTCGTTCCAGATACGTTGGAATAAGGAGGTCAGTGCCCTGCAGAGGACCTCACCTCCATCCTTAAATAGTGCAGGTGGGAGGGAATCCGGGCCAGCGGCACAAAAACGATTGAGGGCTGTGATCGCGTTTCGGACCTCGGCCTCAGAGGGAGGCTCTAAACTAACCGTCCCTGGCACGTCCTGCATCACCTGAGTAGGAAGAGGTCCAGGAGCAAGGGGCCAGCTGAACTGATCTTGAAAGTTCCGCCCAACGAGCCATACGGTGTTCCTTATTGTGTATCAGCGCACCCGCGCTGTCTCAGATTGTCTCACTAACGCCTCGTTCCCTGGGACCAGTGGTGCGGATTAGCTGGAAGAGCTTCCGGTAATTGCCTACTGCACCTGCCTCCTCCATTGCTTGAGCCCGACTGGTCCATCAGACTTCCTTGTCAGCACGTACGCTCTGCTTTAGTTCACGCCTAATAGCCCGTCTGGTCACATTGTGTTCAGAACCAGCCGGGAGGTGTCTTCTAGCGTCCAACAGGTTCACCGACCTCTAGGATATCTAGTGACTAGTGCGGTGACGATGGATAGTGCCACAAACAGATGCTCCTGCGTTGTGCATGGCAGCCGAGATCCTATTCCACTGAAGCTCAGTGTCATTAGGACAAGACAGCGAGAGTTCGCTATGCAGTGCTTCTTGATAGGCTTGCCTGACCGAGGGTTGGGACAATTTCTCAGTTGTCACTCGTAGGGGACGCTTTGTGCGTCTTCCGGTAAAGTTCATGGAGAAACGACAGCGCACCAAGGCGTGATCAAAGTCGACACAGGTACTACAGTACGAGTGGCAATCCAGAATGGAACCGCGCCACCTGTAACTTATGGCTATTTGGTCAATTTGGGTCCATCGCTGGCCAGCTACAGGTGGACGCCAAGTGGCACTTCGGCGCCCACTGTGTCTAAAAGCAGTGCTACTAAGAAACAACTGGTGCTCCGCTCACAGTTGTAGCAGACGCTCACCATCATCAGTCCGTTAGGAGTTAAGTCCATAATTACCACCCAGATGAGCTTCTGAAGAGCTCAGACGCACTACTTGTGCGTTCATATCCCCTGCAAGCACTATAATATCTGAACTGGTAGCACTGCGTAGTAGCGCGTTCATTTCGTGATAGAATGTGTCCTTGACTGCATTAGAACTGCAGTCGGTGGGAACATAAGCAGAAATCACAAACAAACAGCGTTTTGTACTACTTCGTGAATCAACCTTAGCTGATGTCGTCAAACGGGCTGCACATAAACGGCTGTTCACCGGAATTCAATCAACCAACGATGGCTCAGCCTTGGAGCTGAGAATGATACCTACACCAGCTTGACCCGGGAGTGCCGCATCGGCGTCTCCGGATGCGTGCAACCAATAACGAGAGGATAAGCCGGGTGCAGTCAATTCAATAACCCCGTTAGGGTCATTAATCCTAGTTTCAGACACACAACACACATCAACACCCAGTGTGTCCAAGGTGCGTGCGAGTGCAGCCTGCTGACCTGTTTGTCTTAGAGTGCGAACGTTGAATGTCGCCATGGAAACGGAAGAGCGTAGCCTTATAAAGGACTTTTGCCGATAGGCGTCCGATAGGTGCTGTGGGATGGTGGCTACAGATGGTTCTACTCCAGTGGCACTTCGATTGCTGTCAATTAAGCTGGGAATTATAGAAGGAAGGTTAGTAATGGGGGCCGGGATGGGAGTAAGAGAAAAAATTGGAAAAGAAAGAAGGGAGGCGCCAGCAGCAGCAGCAGCAGCAGCATGTTTTCGCTTATCCGCCCTGCTGTATGCAGCAGATAAGGTGACCCTTGATAATCTGCGCGATGGCCGATGCAGGATGAAGTATGTATTTAAAGAAAAAGTCATGGTTGTATGTGGACTGAGATACTGCCAGGGCGCCCAGACCTAGACAGGAGGACGATTAGGGTCCTCATCCAAAGCCTTTGGCTCAAAAACCTGTCCGCAAGGCAGCGGGATGGCAGTGATTTGGTTTTGCAGAAATGGACGTCATCGCATCTCAAACCCCCAACCAGGAGACTGAGTTTTTCTGACCTCTCACCATTGACCAACCTGGTAGGAGTTGCTCTCAAAATGCTCGGAACCATCACCCAGTATAGCTCAATGGGCCAATGAGGTCTAGTCTCGTTGTGACGGAGTAATTCGCTGCAGGTTTATACGATTTCACACAAGGTCTCAAGTGCATAGCTGTCCACTAGTACTTAAATCCAACGGTCCGTCCGATGCAACAAAATGTATTCATAGGTGACCAGTCATCTCATCGTCTATAGAATTCAAACCCACCGTCATTTAGCACGATCACGCATTTCCTGTCCAACACGAATTGCCGATTGGATAGCCGGACAAGCGTTACACATGCTGGTGTTTCCTACATACGCTGGAGTGCATCGTTATAAGGTCCGAGTCATTGCTGAATTACGGTGATCGGTCCAAACATATCGGACACATGCAGAACGTAGCTCCAGTTCAGTCCACAAGTCCACGTTTAACCAAGTAGACAATGCCAATTCATCCAATTCCATTTTGGAATCGCCACCTTCGCTAAGAATGGCTTGGCTCAACGTGCTAGAGTACAACTCTCCCGCAACTGTTCTGTCTCCCGGGACGAGGTAGAATGGATTAAGCGAGTACACCATTTCTCTATCAGACGCATCCCCACTTTACGAGATGTACCGTACGAAGACCGGTGCAACAGACAAGGACATTGCATCCTATCTTAACGTCGAATGCGGGTTGACCTCGTCAGGATGCGCCGGAGAGTACATTTTGGTGATTACCCTATGTTGAGGTCATTGCTGCATATGCGCCTATGAAGCAGCAAACGAGGACACCGGTACAAGCTTGTAGTATCGTATTTAAAGCCAGTCGCCCACCAACTCTGTTTTGAGCGGAGAGTAGTGAAGATACGGAGTAACCTGCCGCCGCACGTAGTCGAGGCTAAGTCGATGTAGGAATACACGAAATTCCTGGACAACACTGCCAATATGAAATGTCGCGAATGCTCTTCAACCTAACAGGTCGTTGTACCTGAAGGATTTTAGATGCAGCTACACAGAGACATTTCTTCTTGTTGCTTCCATCCAGTATTCAGCATTCATAATCGTCGTCATCATCATCTTCATCATCAATGTACGTTAGTTGAGAGTGAGAAACACTCCTCAAATATTGCGTCCACTACAGAAAGGCAAGATAATAAACAGTATAAATTACGAAAGCTAAAAACAAGTAACCTGTTGCGGAGTACTATATTATGCATGGAGCGTCATGTTGTGGATCTAGCGAAAAGCGAATCGGGAGAGGAGGAAGAAAGATTTGCACAATACATAAGCCATTGAGGTCTGCTTTTAGATTCTGGTACTTAGTCGTATCGAAACTCCTTCCTGCCTTTTTCATCACGCGTACTAATCGACCCAACAGGAAAGAAACGCCGCTTTCGTGACTGTATGTTTAATTGAAAAGGAAACTGTTTGTTCACTGCTGTCAATCATTATTTCTCACTGATATTTTGTTGTACTATGTTCGCTGTGTTGATGAGAAAGTGTTGAAAATACATTCATACGGGTGGATAAAGCTTAAGCTATTAACTGCTGAGTTTTTTTAATAGGTGGAGTGGAGCAGGAAAATGAGCTTGTGGGCTTGGTGCAGGGCACGCATGTGAGCACTTTTGGTTTCGTGCTACAGGCGACGTCACGTGGAGCACGTTCACATTCTACATTTTTCCCATGAGCGACAGATGGCGCTACTAGGCGTGTTGCAGTATGTAATCCCCAATTGGGGATCATGGCAGTTAATGGGTTAAGGTGACTTGTGTTGACTCGATTTGGGGTGACGGACACACATTAAGTTGTGGGCTAAAATGACCACCAGCACTCAGCCTGTTCTACTCAACGGATGTTGAGCTGCTGACATTCACAAGGTTGCGTAACAAAAACAAACCTGTATGCCACATGAATCCATTACTTTGCCCTTCGAGTACATTCGGCTGTTCACTGCTCTGCTTATGAAGTCTTGCTACTTCAATCATCAAAGGGGTCGGTAACATCTGTGTTCAACGTAGAGTCGCAGAAATGCGAGTTCAGGAACTCGCATTGCCCCGAATCAACTCAGGATTGAGATATATTTTATCCAAGCCGCATGTACGGTAGTTTAATTATCTCAACCAAGTAGACATAAAATCTCCTGATAACAAAAGCTACTATTGTGTATTATTGTTAAGTCGATATGACTACTGCAGTCACCTCATGAACATGATCAAGGATTTCTAGCGGTCACATGGTTGTAATTCTATCTACCGATTAGTTATCATATGCTAAAGTGTTCAAGAATGACCAGATGCAAGTGTTTGTAGGGTGCTGTGGATGAAGGACAGAAAACGGTAAACCGATACTCACCTGTCGCAGAATTGCCTCAAAGTACTGTGATCGCAGTCGTCTTGTTAAGCGCTCCCCCGATACTCCGAATAGATAGCCCTGCAGCGAGAGTGAGAAGTGTTACCGAGAAGGATCACATAGCGTGATTTATGCGCTGTACAAATGCCAACCTAGTCTGTTAAAAGAGATGCTGCTGAAAGAAAGCTCGCCAAGTTAGTGCGCACTAACTGGGGCGTCGAGAACTGTCAAAACTATCAATAAAAACCGTAGAAAACTAAACCGAGGACGATGATCACGGTAAGGCCAACTCACTTGGCCAAGCATTGAGAAGAATCTAATGAACCCCAACATAGCCATCAATCCACAGATCAAGCTAGTGCGCTGGCTCATTAAGTCCGGTTGTGCTTGCAGACCGAAGATCTGATGGAGGTAAGAAAGTTGACCCGAAGGATGTTATTAAAAGTTAAAAGGAAATACGAAATGCATGCATCCATCAGTTTTCGTCTTCTTACCGCATTGTTCGAATTGATACAAGGAACTAAATGCTTTAAAAGAAATAAGCCATACTTGTGCTCGTGGTACCTAGGGTGGGGTTAAAGAAGTGTTTTTATAAAAGATGTGGCTCCATTTTGCTCATAGAAACATGTAAAAATCATGCGATGTTTGGTGGATTTTTGCTGAAGCTCATAACAGGGACGACGACTTGTGAGTAAAGTAGCGGAAGCCAGTCAGAGGTTTAAGTCAGCCAGGTCTCTGAATGAATGTTTCGTTCACTTAGCCCGTTACAGTGATTTATCATTACAAGCTTTGAAAATCAAAGAGAGGTGAAGAATAAGGTGCGTCAGGTTCCGAAGCACTTTTGGATCTGAGATCCTATTATCAGACATAAACAGCACGCTGTAATTCAATGAGGACGCAATAAGATGATGTAATGTGAGTTCGAACTACTTCGTAACCAGTGCACTCGTCCAGGTTCAGATTTCGCACGTAGGTTATGTACCGGTCAGAGTCGAGTTGCCCACAGAATCGGTGAACTAGCTACTAAGTAACCTATCCGGTGAAAACGGACCGACTGAAGTTACTGAAGGGTGTTATCCATGCACCGAATACTCACGGGTGCATATTAACGAAAATATTTGATTATTTTAATGTAAGGGTTTTGTACGTAATGGATGGCGTCATTTTAAGATCATTTATAATGAGACCTGTTATGGAATCATTTAGTCTACATTTAATAATATTCCTGCTAAACCGTGTTCGGAGGGTGACAACTAGAGGTGAGTGATTACCGTGTATTCTCTGAATGACTTAGACGTTTGGGATGAGAAAAATCGGACACCGATCATCAGATACTGCACTAAGTACTTGGTAAAAGTACCCACGGAGTGCTTCGGAAGAATTGGGGACAAACCTGTTTGGCATGGCACAGTCCTCGAATTTGCTAGATTCGTTTTCTCGTTTTTAGTTGAAGGGTGTGCGGCCGTCATGGGAAGAGCCCCAAAGTGCTTCACCGAAACTGGATGGAGTGCACCAAAGATGCAGCCAGTAAAGAAGTTGACAACGAGATGTTACGAGTAAAATGCTGTGTAATTTACGTATCATGATGGACTAGAGTGCTGTGAACCGACCACAGAGCAAAAGAAGATTGGCGCAGTCGGTATACTCGATGTTTCTTGCGAGAAAAGAAAACTACAAGCCACTTGCACTGCATCCCATACAACTGCGTAGCTTGCAATAGCTAAGTAGTGTAGTCGGAGCACGCTGATCTGAAGTGCCACGGTTTACGTAGTAATGCCAAGGGAAATAGGTGCGATATCCAACCGCAGTTGATAACAGAGGAAATAGAAGCGGAAACGACTACATTAGGGGCAGCGTTCTATGTTTTAAACCATCTGATGCAAAATAACTCCGTGAGGTCCGTGTTTTCATTTCTTTTGTTTGCACGTTTGCATTACATTACAGCTGCATTTCCTTTCCATGTATTGTTTCCGGCACTGAAGAGATGACAGGAAATGCATGCATCGGCCGCGCTTCGTTTTTTCATTGCATTTAAAAAAATAACTATGACGACATTACAGACAGTTGTGATGCACAACTAGGTTAAAACTGTTATCTCACGGATTAGTGTTCTTGTTGTGTGTCAGGAGGAGGAGACACACATGGCAGAATATATTAAAAAAAAGATGGCACATAGCCGCAGTCACCGTAGCGAAGTTGTACGCTATTAAATGCGTCCCCAGGTTACGAATGGGAAAATGTCTTCCCCATAGAGGTACCTGTGAATAAGGTTCGTCTGCTTCACACGGTAGATGAATAAGCAAAGACAATCAGCGACAGCGTCTCAGAGTGTCATGAGTTTTGGGCTGATTCTATGATTCTACATCATACAAGAAATCGTACGGCGTTGTGTCAAAGCCAATAGAACCGGACATAGGGTCACTAAACACTCACTTCTGTAACCAGAAAGGAGTACCTATAGGAAAGGATGAAAGCCTTGTTGGTCACCGGCTACTGGGAGGACTGCTATCGAAAACTAAGAAGACGTATGCTCCACCTCACCACCAACAGTCTTTGTATTTAGCGTCTAATCAGACGTTCCAAGAAATGTTTTCTGACTTCAGATCTCGGGCACCCTGGGTAGTTTGTTACTAATCGGGAATTGGCCTATTGGCTTCTGACGGCCCATCTTATACGTTAAACGTCTCACTGCCCTGAGAATCAGTTCTTTAAGACTTCCGGCTCCAGGTTGAGTCTCTATGTGAATGCTCTTCCTCGGTCCGGGAAAACGAGAAGCCATCTGTTCACATACCACAAATAGAATCAAAAGACAGTTAGGCGAACAAGCTTGTTTTCGGTGGATCGCATCAGGCCAACACACCACAGATGATAGGAATAAATCAAACACAGGGTATTTAAATACAATGAATCAATGAAGTGAATTGACCGGTTAGTGCGATCAAGTGACCACACTGGCTTGGGCATCGTTAGTGGAAGGGTCAGGCGTGGTGTCGTAACATGGGGAAGCTTGAGGCCATGGTAGCTGTAGAGTATGTACAAACTTCTTTTGGGCACACAAATCGGGATTATGGAGCCGAATAGCGATTGCTTCCGCTGTCGCCAATAGGCGACATCGGAGGGCTCGCGTGTGGCGTCCAGATATTCTGTAGATAGGCCTGAAGGCCTGTCGCACATTCATTTGGTGATTTGTGTTGGCCAAATGCCCCAGCACCGCGCTGACTACTGTCTTTCTGACACCAGTGTGGAGCCATGCCGGGCAATGTTCTCGCACTCTCTCAGACAGTCTCCTGATCGTCTTTCCAATATAACTTGCTCGGCACGAGCAAGAAAAATGATACACACAGAAGGAAATATTCGACCTCGGCAATCTGTCCTTGAGATGCTGACTCACGACTGGCGTAGAAGTGAAGCTGACGCGGAGGTCAGCTGCAAAGTACGTTCTCGCTGTTGCATTGCAGAGCCTTCGAGTAGTTCGTTCTGCTATCACATCACCTTTGAAAGGCAGTGATAAGTAGATTAGGCGCTTTTCAGCGGTGGTTGATTGGACTTTAGGTGCTCGTGGCTCCATGTGTCTCCGGATGAATTTGTCCGGATAACCATTTTGTTCGAGAATGCTTCGAATAAAACTCAGTTCATCTGACAGCGTATCTTCCGTGCATATTTTCCTCGCTCTTTCCGTTAGACAACGGACCAGTTTACGTTTTGGACTCATTGGAACAAAGCTGGCGAAATGAGTATATTGACCGGTCCAAGTTGTCTTTCTATGTACTCTCCTTTGTACTGTACCGTCTGATGTTCTGATGATGTGGACATCTAAGAATGACAACGAGTTGTTACTTTCAAGTTCTATGATGAACACTATGTTGTTATGTGCAGCGTTGAAGTGGGCTAACAGATCTTCGATGCATACTCGATCATCCGCAACACAAAATAAGTCATCTACGTATCGACCGTCTACGTATCGACGTCTGACCCTTCCACTAACGATGCCCAAGCCAGTGTGGTCACTTGATCGCATTAACCGGTCAATTCACTTCATTGATTCATTGTATTTAAATACCCTGTGTTTGATTTATTCCTATCATCTGTGGTGTGTTGGCCTGATGCGATCCACCGAAAACAAGCTTGTTCGCCTAACTGTCTTTTGATTCTGATGTCATCTCAGGGATTATTTTCTCAGTTGAAACAAATACCACAAATACACATGAACCTGCATAACCCTGATCCCTAACTACGCTCCCTACCTTAGCTCGTCTTCGCCGAGGTGCTGGCGACCAGGTCCGCAAAACCATGCTCTACTGCACAACGTGGCATTTGTTCTGTTCCACGTTTGTGGAACTCACCATTCTTGGTTATCTCCTCCCCCAAACACCGTCCCGACTAAAGGGACAGTTTTAACAATGTCGATGGGCATTTTAAGACCGTCCATGTGCCATCTGCTCGTAAACACAGACAATTCTAACCCACGTGCTCAATACAAGTTGGCCGCTTTCGATGTATGGACGGTCTTGCCGATAAGATCAAGAACAATTCTTGCACGCACTCCAGAAAACCTAATCATCGGTACCTGTTGCCTCGCTGATACCTGCTTAGAGGGCTCCAATAAGCCCTACGACTGAGATCCCTTTCTGCGGGCTCCCGAGGTGCGTTCACATCACACTTATCCGGAAAAGCAGGTGCTAAGGCCGCTGGCCTGGACGGTGTGCGAATTTCGCCATGTGCGCACCCAGAAGCAGCGCCAATTGATTGAATTCCTGGTAATAGCGGACTCTATACAATTCTGTCGGCCGGTGGCCGAGTGGTCTGCACGTTTGCTCTGCAACCATAAGGTCACCGGTTCGAATCCGCGTAGGGGTGGGCGTCCTCGCGGTATACACAGCCCGCGCGCGACTGGTGGTGGTCGCGCGGCAGCTAGCGCCGTTACGGTGTACAGCTGACACATTATTATTATTATTATCTATACAATTCTTCTAGAAAGCACCGCACGATTTTCCAGCCCAGAGGCAACTAAATACAGCTTGTTTATCGTAGCGGCGTATGCTCGCACAAATTGCAACCTAGGCTTAACCAAAGATGAGTTCTATCGTAACTTTCCTACCCTTTCCATAAGAAGTGTCGCATGGATATCGCCGTGTACGCCGAGAACTTAAACGGTGACGTCGGTATACTCGAAGCTGGTGAATGCGAACTCCGTGATTTGCATGGCCATGGTACCTGAAGGACAGGTAACGGCGACCGCCTACCACAGCTCTGCAATGATAATGGCTTCTTCCTCTCGAGCACAAATTTTCAGCGCCCCATAGTGACAGGGCGTCACCTGGCGACTCCCTTCATTTGGACAGTCGGGAACGCAGAATGACTATATGGCCATCAGTTGCCGTTGGTGACGCTGCACAACGGAC